CAGCAACAGCAGGAGCTGCTGGCCATGAAGCACCAGCAGGAGCTGCTGGAGCATCAGCGGAAGCTGGAGCGGCACCGCCAGGAGCAGGAGCTGGAGAAGCAGCACCGGGAGCAGAAGCTGCAGCAGCTCAAGAACAAGGAGAAAGGCAAAGAGAGTGAGTCTGCGGGGCCCTCGGGTGCCGCTGCCACGCCGCTCCCGGTGCCGGCGGCAGGGCAACTTCTTCAGGGGCTACAGGGCATTTTGCACGACTTTCGGTTTGATTTAAGCATTTTAAACATGTCCGGCTGACTCCTAACGGACTTAAAAATATTGAAAATCATAAAGCGTGTGAGATGCGTAGTGTGTTGCACGGGTGAGTTGAGGCCTGAATGTTTCAGAGTCGCTCTGTTTTTTGACGGCAGTTTGCGAGTGCCTCAGCCGGGTCCCGTCTGTGGGACCCCGTGGCCGAGAGCAGGCACGGCGACTGCGCTGACCTGGGTTTTGCTTCCTGTTGCGGCTGCGCATGTCTCCCCGTGGACCAGGCCGCTCTCGTACCGTCTGAGCGATGCCCGGCTTCCTCTCAGCCAGGAGGCCGCTCTGTATGCTCGTCCCCCGGGACAACTCCTCGGGCCCCTCAGGGAAGAGGCCCAGCCAGGAGCGTGCCCAGGCGTCCTGGTGTGTAGATCCACACTCGCGGGCCGCGAGACGCCTGGTGAGGCTTCTGTGCGGCCAGGGTTGAGAGCCGGGGGTCTGGACGAGCCCTGGCTTCATGTTCAGACTCTGAGGCCCTGTGCCTGCTACGTGACGTGCGGCCTGCCACATGGGCACTGCCTTCTGCTCTAGAAAGCCGCCTGCAGACAGCACCCGGTCCTCGTAGGAGCCCGTGAGCGCTGGCTGCAGGCTCTGTGGCCCCCGCCCGCCCGCTGGGGCCTCACGCGTCTCCGGGCGGGGCTCCTCATTGGACTGGGGAACTCACTGCCCTTTACCCAGGCGGGAGTTTGAACCGAGGGTACCAGCTAGGCAGTCTGCGCCCCGCCTCCCGATAAATACCAGCCTTTCAGACTGCAGAGGGCAGCTCAGCCCAGTCAGTGCCTCCTACTTTTCCAGAATCTCCCAATGAAAGCACACAGCCTCACAAAATGTGGAAAGGGCAAGGGGACTCCCAAATCCATCTGGGTTGTGTGTGCAGCTCACGATCTGTGCAGCACCCTGAGCGCCCCCGGCCCCGAGCGTCGGTCGGATGCTCCGCGCCGCCTCCCAGCCCATCCCAGCAGCAGTCTCAGCGGTTTTCGGGGTGCGGATTTGGGTGGTCGGGTTTTATGATTAATAATGAACCGTGTGCAGTGTGGCTGTTTGCCTCTGCGGCCCGCGAGTGTGGTCCTGTGGGGAGGCAGGCCTGGCGGTTGCTGGGGACACCTCAGGCCCCGGTGTGAGCGGGCGCGGACCGGCGCCGCCTGTGAAGGGGCCCTTGTCGCCCCGGCTTAGAGGGTGTTTGTGGTCGCGGGCAGGCGGCACGCGGGAGTGCAGGGCCGAGCGTCTGCTGCTGAGCTCCTCGGGTCTGTTCAGTGAATTTCTTCTTGAATGCTTAGAAGTTTTATTACACTGAACATTTACCGTACTTCTAATTTTAAATCCACAGTTTTCTTTACTCATTGATACCAATTAATGCCATTAATCTGGTGAGACCGTGAATTCTTAAAGTTCGCAGCAGTTTCCATCGCGGTCAGCGGGACACGCTCTCTCCAATCAGTCGAGCTTTACACAGATTTAACACTTACAGGAACCTGCGCTCCACTGTCCTTTCACAGAAATTTAAAGAGCAAATCCAGTAAACGGCGTCTGTGCCCCCTGAGCGGTCGGGACCGCCCGACGGCATTTCCGTCCCTGCTCGTGTGCAGCCCGGGCGGGGTGCGCGGCCAGCACTGCAGGGCGCCGTCCCCTTCTGTCAAAAAGCTGCTGATAAAAAGGCCGAACGCCTGGTCCCGAAAGCCATTCTCTGTCCTGTCTGTGGGGTCGCGGCTCCCCCAGAGGCACGTGGGCCCAGGAGAAGGGCGTCCACCGCAGGGAGAAGCAAACCGAAGTCACGTGGCAGGTTTGGCGTTGGATCCGTCATGCCCGCCGGCCTGTGCCCTCAGCCTTGGCCCCACCTGCCCGGGTGGCCCCTCTGTGCGGCTCCACCGGGGGCCCCGGGCTACGACCCCGGCCCTTTGTGTCCTGGAGTCACCTCTCTATGCCGTGGCGGTGTGTGGCGGCTGCACTCGCACGGGGCTGAAGCGCACTGCTCGTCCACATGTGACGGGCAGCGTGGGCCTCCGGGGTCGGGGCGGGCTGGCTGCGCTGCCAGGCGTGGCTGCAGCTCTGTCGGGACGGGGTAGACGCCCACGGGTCTCGCGTTAGGCAGGTGGGTTTGGACTTTTTCTTCTGTGTGTCGTCAGATTTGCGGGTTTTTCTTGACGGGCTGTGTAACCACCACCCCAGAAAACCGTGGCGCACAGGGCTCCGGCCAAGCCCCGATGGGGACCCGCTCTGCGCCTGAGCGGCTGCGAGAAGCAGACCACGCCCTGGGAAGGACTGGGGACGCACCTGGTGGCAGCAGGCCTGCCTGGGACACAGGCTTCGTCCACACGCCGTCGGGCAGTGCCGCGTTGGGGGCACCGAACCCCACCGCACTGCTGCTGCGTCTTCCGCCTGAGGGAGGAGGACCCTTTCAGAGGCGGGTGTGTGTCGAGGGACAGCGTCTTCCTGCCCATCGCACCCACGTCGCCTTCGCGGGCAGAGGCTGCACTCGGAGGCTCTGGCCTTCTTTCCGCCAGCAGCTTTGGGGTGGCCAAGGCCGCCAGCCCGGCCTCCCGCTCGGCGCAGCCGCAGTCAGCGCCCTGTGCCCTCTCCTCCCCTCCCCCAGGTGCCGTGGCCAGCACGGAGGTGAAGATGAAGTTGCAGGAGTTCGTCCTGAACAAGAAGAAGGCGCTGGCCCACCGCAACCTGAACCACTGCGTGGCCAGTGACCCCCGCTACTGGTACGGGTGAGTGGGCCTTCCCTCCCCCCGCCTCCCGCCCCGGCCCACAGCTTGGTCTGCTGACAGGTTGCCTGGCAGCCAGTTCGTCACCGGGCATGGCAGGGGGCAAATGAGAAATTCCCAAGGCCAGCAGCTTCAGGACGCAACCCATGTGGTCTGGCGGTTAAGGGTTGTGGCCCCAAGGGGTGTGGCCGGCTCTAAACAGCCCGGAGCTGCCCAGGGGCTGGTGCCTGCTTGGTTCTCGCCAGAAGGAGCCATTTAAACTGGACCTCTGGCCCCAGCTGTCCACGTGTACCCCCAGATTCCTCCCAGTGCCTTATCGATTGCTAGGCAAGTCGGTCAGAATGGGATGTTTCGTTTTGTGCTGCAAGCCCGCTCAGCCTGCGTGGCCGGCAGACCACAGAGGAGCCTCGTCGCGCTGAGACCAAGGCAGGCGGCGCCCTCGCCGGGCGGCGTGCCCATGTGCAGGCCATCCCCACGGGCCGCGTCCGGGACGCAGTGGCGAGCCTGCGTGGCTTTCGGCACTGGCCAGCGGGGCTTCACAGATTTTGGCTTTAAATGTTTCCTACTGCTTTCTCGGGTAATTTCATTTCTGGAAGAAAGGCCCCAGGAGAGGGCCCGCCTGGTGACGGCGTGCGAGGCCTGCACAGGGCCGCAGGCACGTCCTGGGTGGTGGCTCCACGGTGTACACGCGGGTCGCAGCCTCCGGCTTTCAGCTCACCTGTTGGACCGCGTGTCTGTCGTGGCCGCCACAAGCACACGGCTCCCGCGCTGAGACGCGCTGTCCACCTCGGGCACGTGCTGTGTGTGGGCTCCCCAGGCGGGGGGACTACGGGGGACCCGTCAGCCGTTTCTAGACTGAGCACGTGCGGAGGGGACTCTGGCTCTGTCGGCCTGAAGACACACAAAGGCCGACACCACGTGTGCTGGCGTGCGTTTTGACGTGGCTGCTGGACACGTAGAAGCGGCACGTAGCACGCAGCTAGCACTTCCGTGAGACTCGCTGGCGGGAGGGTCCCCCTGTTGGGTCACTCCCGTGTCTGGAGGGCTGGGGGAGCCGCTCGCTGACAGTTCAAAGGGCTACCTTTGCGTTTAGCTTTGTTCTGTCGCGAGCAGAGCCCTGCTTCTCCAGGAAGCGCTGTCTTTACAGCGAGCTGTCCCCTCGGCCTGCCAGACCCCAGGCACAGGGGCTGCAGAGCAGCTTCCTGCCCCGGCCTCTTCCTCCCAGGCTGGGAGCTCAGCGCCAAGGGAGGTGGCGGGAGTGGACGTCAGGTTCCGCCTGGGACAGGGCGCGAGCATGTGTGAGCCGGGGCAGGTGTGCGGTGCACGTGTGAGTGCGTGAACTGGGGCAGGTGTGGCATGTGTGAGTGTGCATGAGTTGGGGCGAGTATGGGGTGCACGTGTGAGTGCGTGAGCTGGGGCAGGTGTGGAGTGAGTGTGCGTGAGCTGGGGCAGGTGTGGAGTGAGTGTGCGGGAGCTGGGGCGGGCGTGGGGGGCCCGTGGGGGTG